GCCCCTGTTAAGTTAACGCTGAGTTCCTCTTCTACTTGAGTCGGTAGGTTTTAAAATACTGATTACACTGGTCAGAGTTTCTGTTAGCTTTATTTTTTACTTCCTTTATCAAACATTTAGAAGTCATGGCACCCATACGTTGCTTAGTTCAATTCCTGAGGAGATAACAGAAGACCAGCTGATGCACAGAAGCTTAAAAGAATCCCAGCTGAATATTTGTAGCTGCAGACACTCCTATAATCTCAGCTGCCATCATCAGTTATTTTGCATGATGGTCTGATAGCACCACAGCTTATTTCTTATTTCCAAATATAACAGATCATCTCTGTTGCCTAGTAAGCATGGCAGAGACAAAATTTACGCCCCAAGCTCTGTCCTCAGATTCCACATTCCCTCTTACCAATATTTTGAAGAAAAAATATGAATGTTGCCAAGGATTGAATTTGTTTTCTTAATTCCTTGGGATTCATATGTCCTTAGGAGAGTGTTGGCTATTGCAATAAATGTTCACCTAGGTGTGCAGAAATCTCCTGAAGCTCAGTGGGGTTCTGGATTGGCTGAGGTTTCGAAATTGCCAACTGAAATCCTGCAGGAAGGGGTTTTTTTGCCTTTCAGCACATGATGCTTTTCATTAAGGAAAGTCATTTTAGATTTTGAATCCCAACCATTTTGCAGTTTTATATGAGTTGATGTCTCTAGATCATGCAATAACAGACATCTGGAAGGCTCTTTACGTCAGTTTGTTTCAATAGCTGCTGATGCTGGTCTGGGTGGATCAGCAAATGCTACTTTCCCTGGTAAAGCTTCCTTTTGCATAGGCAAATCTGTTTCAGACAGACCTCATTACCTCCATATAGCCAAAAAATGTTATCCACTGTGGGATCCTCCTGGGAATCACCTGACCCCCTAGATCTATGGCAAGTAACCTGCAGCCAAAACTCCTTTATATGTTTATTCAGTTCATTTGTAGTCTCTCTAAGATGTGTGTGTCTGTATTTGAGGCTGGCAATTAACTGCTGCTACTTTTAGGAAGCCCCCAGTTTCTGCTTTCACATTTGTAATTATATAAATAAATCAGTTGAATGCTTATCCACCATGTTGTTGACCTTTGCCAGCAGATTGTAAAATTCTCTGTGTTAAACTGTTTATAAATTGACTTTTCATAAAGGATTCACTCATGGTTTGCATAGTTTCCTCTTTACTGTCAAGTTCATACTTGACATAAAAGTTGTCAAGAGATCTCCTGGGCAAAAAGTAGAGAAACTGATGTCATCCTCCTTAATGTGCACATGTACAAGCTCTCCTTCCTAGAGAAATAGACTACAAATACATTTTCAAGGCTGTGTTTGGTCACAAGATTCAGTGCAGTCCTTGCTGCTGTGTCAGAAACATTGCTTTGGTCCACAGCATTTTGTAATGCCGTTTTTGACCACAACAGATACTTTTGTTTTACTCCCAAGTGACATTTCTAAAAATAAATCTGAGCTGTATGCCTGGATATTGGCTAATGGTAGCAAAACTGATTAATAAAATTTGAGCAGAAAATGCAGACGCTTTCCACACTCTCAGCTTGCTCTATTTTCTTTCTTCTTTACAGTCTAAAGGAAGAGTCTGACTCATCTTTCCTGAACTGTGGGGAAAACAGGAGCATCTTGAATAGAATTCATATAAAATATTCAGTCCTCTCCTTGAGGACTTAATAGGCACAGACATTTCACTTGAAGATGGGAGGAAAGTATGAAAGGATTATCCAGAGCTCTTGTGCTGATTCAAGAAAGTTTGCCCTACTTAACAGGAGAGTTACCCTGTCTGCCACTTGTACTGGAGGATCTAAAAGAAAAGTACACAGCAAGTCTCAGGAAGCCAGGAATGATGAGGAATTCCAGTGGACAGCTGCTAAGAAACCAGTAAAAAGTTCTGTAAGTTCCTCCAAGCGGTGACAAAAAGAAAACTTCTGGAAAAAAAAAAGGCCTCAGAGCAAACCTGCGACACGAGCCCAAATGACAGCAACATTGACTTCAGACTCCTCTAACCTTGACACCTAACTGCTTAATGAGCAAGAGAAAGAATTAGTGGAACAGGAAAACCAAAATGAGTGCTTTCTCTGAGATCACTAAGGGAAAGAATCAAACTTAGATGTACAGAATTAGGGATTACTGCCGTAAATACCCAACTCGTACCCACCACCACAGCTGCTACAAATAATGTCAGTCCATAGCACAGGAGAAACCAGTGCGAAAGTGCTGCTCGTGACCATGGTGGCTACCCCACAGCACTCCTGGGGCTGCCAAATCACGGCTGAGGCTTGCAGGACTTTTGGCTCCAGATCTCCTTCCTTAGCCCTAAGTGACAGTCAGGAGGAAGAAGGTCTTTTGGGACTCCCCAGGACTAGCACGCAGGGTCAGCACTGAAGTCCGAGCCACCGTGTGATTAATGGAGGAGCTGACCTTCTGACCTTCAGAAACGCATTTAGGAGAGTGTGATCTACGGCAGAGGAACCTCCCAGAGGCAGCTTAGATTGCCTATCTTTGTCAAAGGCATGGTACCACTGCAGTGAAAAAGCAATGTGGGAAGTGGAAAAGAGGGCTTAGGCATTTTAAATAAGAGAATTGGCACTTTGGAAACTGATTAAGCAAGTAGAACATAAGGCTGAGTCACTCTGTCCCTGTGTATGCATGTGCACATATATAGATATATATTTGTGTGTGAGTGAGGATATGAAAAAAGAGTCATACAGTTCCAAAAGCAACTGCAATAACAACTTGTAAGCTGAAGCTGTCACATCATATGAAACAGATGCAGAAAACACGTGAAGACACAGTCACAGACGTTTTAAAATTTCTCTTCAGTGTTTCGCTCACATCTTGTAGCATTTAAATACGATACCCTTTATGGCCTTTTTTTCTGAAACCACCATCACCCCTTTTGAAGTGATGTTTGATGAAATTGCAAGACTTCTTGGCTAGGAAAAGATTTTTTTTAATCTCCAAAAGTCCTATTATGCAGCTTCATGAGGTTTTTTTTTTAATCTCCCCAAGTCATACTATTCAGCTTCATGCAGTGAAAAAAACACTCGTGTTCCTCTGAATAAAAGAAGGATTAGGAAGATTAAAATGCTCACCACTGGACTTGTTGAAAAGGCTTGAGTATGATAGGCCCTTGTGCACAGCCGTGCCTTGAGGGCCACAGCAGAAACTATTCCCTGCTTTTGGGTATTTCAGAGAGCTTGCTGGTCCAGATCCCCTGTATTGAGTTTTCATAAAAGTTGCAGTAACAAGGACATTGCAAACAGAATGCTGGGGAGCGAATGATCAAATTTTACTTTATTTATTTATTTTTGTTATTACAGCCAGATGTTGCCTCAGGAAGTTGAAACAAGAAGTCAGGAACTGACAGCTTAATAATTAAATTGGGAAAGTTGGCAGGCCTCCTGCTACTTCCTCTAATACATAACATAGCATCTATGAATGAAAGCGTACAGTATCCCGGTGGCTCTCCTTCAGAACTGGCTCATCTATTACTGGGTAATGATTTTCCGTCGAGGCAACAGCAAAGCACCAGGCCTATTACACCAGCTACATAAAGTTAAAAAGACATTATGAATAAAACGTTCACCATGGCTTTTACCAACATTTCTACACAAGACTGCCTAATGCTGACATGTGTTTATTACACTTAATAATGTTTACATAATTCTTCCTTGAGCTCATTATAGCTGTCAAAAACCGGAACGGAGCGTATTTGCGCCCGTGTTTTATCTCCACACGACTTCGCCGCCGCTACAGC